TCTGTGATTCTACAGGGTCTTCATGAGCAGCTCTTATCTACATTGGAAGAATGGCTGTCTGGCCATTAGAAAATCCAGTCCAACAGGTTCTTTTAAGTGCAGACATATGGGCTGGTCTGTTTAACATTTCATCTGAAAGCTAGAGTCTCTGACAATGTAGTACTGTCTCAGTGTCAAACTAGATTTTGCCTACAGTCCTGGAGAGCTGCTTGATGATTCACAAATTCAGTTCTACTAATAGAAGTGAGTGATAAGCAATTTTCTTAAGGAATTAGTACCCATTCACTAATTTCTCCCAAATTGCTCACAATTCGCTTCCTTTTCTGATGCAGTGTTGTGATACTGGTTTGTTTAATCTCATTATAATTGGGTAGAAGGAAGACTCAGTTGCAGAAAAGTGCCCAGCTTGTTTGATACATAATAGGACCAGAACAGACATTGGTTGGTATTCTAAACTGGTAGTACCCTGTGAAATGACAGGAAACTGTAACATGTCTGGAACACATTGAGATCCGCAACTAGTTTTTCCATTTAACTGAACTACAACATTAAGACCTTGTTTCTGTGCTCTCTGGCCAATTAGCGAGTTTTTACATGATGGTGTTGTGGATCTCAATGTGTTCCAGACATGTTACAGTTCCCTGTCATTTCACAGGGTACCACCAGTTTAAAATACCAACCAATGTCTGTTCTGGTGTGGGTGAGGAAAAAAATCACATGGAAGTTTTGGAGCTCAATAAGGGGAGGAATGTGGAGGATGGTAGCAATGCTCCACTTTTAATGCCACTAACTCTGAACACTACTACCCAGATATGTTGAGAAAGCTGATCCTTTGCCTCTAAACCCAGTGTTGGGGATCTCATCTCCTTGGAATTTAGACTTAGGTTTTTCTTGTCACATGCACTTAGGTACAAGGGTACAAGAGTACAACGAAAAGTGTACAATGTCATCATTCCCAGCACCGTTAGGTACAATATCTTGGGTATAAAGATAGAAAAATAAAGAAAAAAATTAAAACGTTAATCACTACAGTTATTCTTACTATAAAGTAGAAAAATAAAAAAAAAGTTACAAGTCAAACATTGCAGTCTTTTCCGAAGCCATGGGCCTGCAGTCGCTCCATGCCAGGCCTTCCCCACAAGGGCTCACTCTCCCCCTGCCTCCATGACTAAACTGTCTCTAGAAGGTAAATAAAAAGAACTAAAAAACAAAAAAGAGAAAGAAATGAAAAAAGTAGGCATTGCCTACTCTGCCACCACCTCCTTGGATGAGCATCTTTAAATTGGATCGCTGCCTCCATTGACTCTGCCCTGTCAAGTGGCATGAGGCTGAGGAGAATGCTGCTATGTTCTGATCTTTAGTTTGCAAGTCATCCGTTCTGCTTTAAAAGTATGCCTGGTTTCTATCTCATCCTTTTCAATACCACTGAGAAGTTTGGTTATTTTTCAGTTCTTTAGTTCCGATGAAGACGCCTATTCACAAGTTAACATTTTCTTTATTTACAGATGCTACTGATACATACATTTCAAACTTTTCTTGTTTTAAATCTCAATTTATCACACTTTCAGATTTTCCTTTTCATCCATACTGAGACAGCTTTGAGAATAACCAAGATCAGGCTGGTTAAATTCTTTCTGACTGCCTTGTCTCATTCTCCCTATAATTGGTCATGTTACACAAATTTTAGTGCAGACCATGAAAGCCTACACTATGGAATCTGATCTTTCTGCTCTAATCTCAGCATGTAGTGAAGATTTAGAAAACTATAGTCCAGGTTAGATTTTAACTTGTTCGAACTTTGACACTATTTTTCCTGAATTGTAAACTCTCCCAAGTCAGTGAATAAGGCAGGCCTAATACTGTGAGAAGTGCTCATTGATGGATTTTCTGGTATTACATACCAAGATTCTTATTGGCAATGCAATGATAGCCATTTAATCACATATATACATGCATAAGTGATAACTCAAAATATATCATGCAATCAACATAAATATAAATTTTCTGAAAGACTTATTCATTAATCTTGTTTTCAAAGTTTTGCAACAAATATTATCCACAAACTTACTGATCAACATTCTACATTCAGTTCTAAATCATTTATATAAATATACCACAAACGGCAAGAGCCCCAACACTGGTCTACTTCTACAGAAGTAGAATAATTCGTATTTTACACTTCTGCAGCCATTAGTTTCATGAAATCACCACCTCCACCATCTCTGAGATGGAAAGACCTTTTGACTCCAAAGACTGGCCTCTTAGATTTAGAAAGACCAAAATATTAAACATTTTTAACACTAATGTGGTTTACATTAATTATTTGCTCTGTCTCAACCATTTAATCTAATGAATGAAAAGTGTGTCACAAAAATCCATAGTCCCTAAGATCATGAAGTGAAATCACTGACTCTTAACTTCCTTTGCTCATTTACAACACGTGCGCAGTGAATGTAATTAAGCTTCAAATGCCGGTCCAAAATCATGTTGTTGGTGCTTACAAATCCAACATTGGAATCTCAATGATGCATAATTTAGCAGCAATGACTGAAAAGGAGGGAAATGCTGGCCAAAAGCATCCCTCCACTTGCAATACCTCCAAGGGTGCAGTGTTCTGGAGTTTACAGCACAGAAAAGACCCTTTGGCCCATCGAGTCTGCAACAGTCAAGCTATTAATTATTTTAATCCCATTTTCCAGCATTGACCCATTGCCTTATATGCCTTGGCAGCGCAAGTGTATATTTAAATACTTATTCTGTTATGAGGGTTTCTGCCTCTACCGTCCTGATAGGCAGCACTGAGTTCCAGATGCCTACACCCTCTGGGTGAAAAAAAAATTCTTTGCATCCTCTCTAAATGTCCTGCTCCTCACCTGAAATCTATAGACTCTGTCATTGATCTGTCCACATGGTAGATCATCCAGTCTACAGCGTCTATGCCCCTCATATTATATTATATCTCAATCTTGGCTCCCCTCAATCTCCTCTAAGGAAAACAATCCCAGTCTATTCAATCTCTGTCCTTAACTTAAACTTTCCAGCTCAGGCAACAAGTGGATAAATCTCCTCTGCACACTCCCTAGGCAATCACATCCCTCCTATAATGTGGATTCTAGAACTGCACACGGTATTGTAGCTGAGGCTGAACTAATGTTTTTTACAGCTCCCTGTTCTTCAACTCCTTTCCTCACCTTTATTCCATATGTATTCTTAACCATTTGATCTACCTGCTCTGCTACCTTAAGAGCTGGTGTTGCACTGGAGTGGATGAAGTCAGAAATCACAGAAGTCATGAAGGAGTAGTGCTCCGAAACCTACTCCTTCGTCAGGTGAAGTGGAAGGAAGAACACAGGCACAGAGGAGTAGTGCTCTGAAAGTTTGTGATTTCAAATAAACCTGTTACACTATAATGTGTTGTGTGACTTCTGACCTTAAGAATTAATGGACATGCACACCTCAGTGCTTGGTGCTTCCCAGAGTCTTGTGGTTCATCATGTATTCCCTTGCCTTGTTTGTTCTGCCTAAGTGCATCACCTCACACCTATTAGATTGAATTCCATTTGCCACTGATCAGCCCATCTAAGCAATCCATCTATATCCTCTTATAATCTAAAGCTTTCCTCCACACTTTTCCTTCCTACCAATTTTTCTCTCATCTGCAAACTTACTGATCAACATTCTACATTCTATTCTAAATCATTTATATAAATATACCACAAACAGCAATGGTCCCAACACCAATCTGTGCGGAATCCCTTTGGACACAGCCTTCCAGTCATAAAAATACCCTTCAACCATCACCCTCTGCTTTTTGCCAGTCAGCCAATTCTGTATCCAATTTGCCAAACTTAGTTGGATCCCATGGGCTCTTATCTCCATGTTCAGTCTCCCATTTGAGCAGGCAGCGAGGTGATGTGATAAATGCCGAGAAACTGGGGCAACAGGTGCTGCCTTCTAAGGAGAAGGACAAAGACCTTAGAGATGAAGGAGCTCTCCTTGTGCACCACAGAGTTCAACTGTGTGTTAGACTCTGCAGGCCAGACAGGATCTGATTAACACATGGTTCCAACAGATGAGAGATGGAAGCAGCAAACAATAAAAGACTGTACACAAATCATTGATCATCATATCAGTATTTGATTTTCATTGTGGGGTGAACTGCAGCTCTACTAAGTTTTAATCTTTACCCTCTCACCTTAAACCTATGCCCTGTAGTTTTGGACTACGCTATCCTGGGGAAAAGATCTTGGCTATTCACCCTACCTATGCTCCTCATTATTTTGTAAACTTCAATAATGTTATTGCTCAGCCTCTGATGCTCCAGGGAAAATAGTTCCAAGCCTATTCAGCTTCTCCCTGTAGCTCAAACCCTCCAAACCCACTCAACTTCCTTGTTAATCTTTTCTGAATCCTGTCAAGTTTCACAACATTCTTTCTATAGCAGGGAGGCCAGAAATGAATGCAGTATTCCAAAAGTGGCCTAACCAATGTCCTGTACAGCCTCAGCGTGACCTCCCAACTCCTATACTCAATGCACTGACCAATTAAGGCAAGCGTGCCAAATGCGTTCTTCACCATCCTATCTACCTGGTACTCTACTTTCAAGGAACTATGAACCTGCACTAGTTTCCTTTGTCATGGAAAGTATATTTGTAATTATGAATACAGAATTTTTATTCACACTAATGCACAATATTCATTTTCAAAAGTTAGTTTTGGCGAGAGGCTGGGCTCAAGGCTGAAGGTTCACTTGGGCATTTAGTACTTTTGTGCTGGCCCTGCCAAGCTCACTTTCACTTTTGTTTTCAGCAATGAAGAAGAGCCTAGTTCTTCCCTTAAAATATCAGAACAGTCCAGCACTTTATATATAAAGGTAGATTGTGCTACATCTCATTTCTAAGTATTGGATCATAAAAAAGTCTCCATCTGTCAGGCAAGGATGTTGTGTTGCTTATTATGCCAATATTTTAATGCTGATAATTTTTGTTTCTTTATTGCAGAAAGAATATTTGGACAACTTCAATCAGCTTAATGATACCCTCAAGCAGAATGAGGCTATACGGGAAACATTTCTTCAGAAGCAAAGCTTAAAAACTCGGTTATTGAATGAGATTGAAAAATACAAAAATAGCATTCTGGATTTGCGGTAAGAAATTATCAAGTTCTGATTGATTATTTCATTATTGTAATGTTATTTTTTTTCATTCTGTCAATGTCCAAAAAAAAGGAAACTTGTGCTAATTCTTAATCTCCCAAATAAATTGCAGGAATAGAAAATTATTCTTAGTTTTTCATCAATACATTCAATTTAAATTAAACTGCTGCATTTAATGATCAATATTCATTCAAAAATGTTTTATTCCATAGATAGTTTGTTTGCAGAACAAATTTCTGTAAAACAGCTAATATCTGTCTTCGATTCATTTTTTAAGTTGTGTGCGTTGTAGAAGCTTTGTGGAAAGTTTCTCAAACAGTGGGAGGCATGTTTGCTTGTATGCAGGATGTCAACACTTAAAAATTGATGTTGAGTCAGCATCACAACCATCGTCCCGTCCACATTTAAGTTTCTATTGTGTGGGATTAAAAGCATGTCGGGATTTCTCTGAATCTGTCAGGAAAGTTTTTAAGGCAGTTCTTTTTCTATCGGTTTCAACCTTGCTTTTTCAAGTATGATTGTATTGGAAAGGATATATATCAAGTGCAAAGCTGATCAAGCAGCAGATTGTTTTGTTCTGAATTATGTAAAACATTTCAAGTATCATTGCATCTGTATCCATCAGACGAGTAGTCCATCACATTTTAGATGTGATCCTTGTACAATCACTCATCAGAACCTCAGTCATGTTCTTATTGCCACTGCGTTGATATGGCTTTATGTATAAGCTTCTGGACAATGCTAAGTCCCAGAATATTGATACAGATCCCAGTGAATGACAAGAAAAGATGGTTGGGAGTTGTCTTGACGGAGATAGTCATTTCCTTGCACAAAGTAGAATGTAAGTTGGCTTCTGTTTGTTAGCTCAAGCCTGAATGTTTTCCAGGTACTGTTGTAAGCTGGCTTTAGCTGCTGCATTACCAGAGGAGTTATGATTTGCACTTAACAATTTAAGATCGTTAGTAAATAGCAAATTCACAACATTAAATTAGAAGAAAGGTTATTGCTGAAACAATGAAAGAAATTACCTTTAATTATTTTCAGAACGTCATCCTCGCCTGCAATAATTGGCATCCAACAGTTATGATAATTTTCTTTTGTGTCCGATCAGACAATAATTTTTCGATTGACCCCCAATGACTTCAGTTATGCTTGAGCTCCTTTGCGCACTTGCCAGTTAGATGCTGACTTGATATTGTCAGCAGCTCCTATTACCTCTTCCCTAGATTTCAGCTCTTACGTCCAAGTCTAAACACTGGTTATGTAAAGGTCAGAAGGTGGCTAGTATTGTCAGAATCAAGATCATCATTATTGATTAGGCTGTTGGTAAATAAGGGATACTCAATGGAACTGGAGGTTTCCATCACATTATCTGATGATTAGGAGGAGGCCAAACAGTATCAACAATTTGGCACTTTTGTTTGACATAAATCCTTTAGCCTTGTCTCATATACTCATCTTCTGGGCTTGTCTATGGTTAATTGAGCCTCTTTCTCTTATTAGTTACTTTATTGTCTGCTATCAATCTTGACTCAGTATGGTAGGACTAAAGTTCTTCACTCTGACCCACTGGTTGTGAAACTACTAAGGTCCAACATCTTGGCAAAATCACCACTTTCTGTGCTGTAACCCATTCTAGGAAATACGGTTTTAATTCTTATTTGTGTTTCTGTTCTTTTAAGACCAATGCTAGATGCATCAGAGTTCAAGCAAAACAATGCTGAAAACTTCATTTCTAAATTAAAGGAAGACCTTGATATAGCTGTTAAAAGGAAGACACATGTGGAAGAAGAGCATTGGAAATTGATTCATGATCGAAAAGATAAACGTCAAGAAGTTAGGGTAAGTACAGAACACTGATTAAATTCTTCAGTTGTTCCATTTGGACTGACTATTTTTTTTCAAATTAAAGACAAATTTTGGAATTTTTGAATTTTTGAATTTTTATTTATTAACTATAAAAGTATTTCTTTGCCTGGTAAAGTCCTGTAAGACACGAGTCTCTGCGGTATCTCACATGATGTAACAAGAATGAGTGACTCAATACCAAATATTATACTAAAGCATCAATTTGAGTAAATAATTATTAAACAATTGTAACTGATAAAATAAAAAGAAGAAAATATTATTTTATTAGAAAGAAAGATAAGAAAGAAAGGCAGCATCGAGAAAAGACGCAGATATGGAATGGAGTCAGCAGAACCAGGGAGAGAATAAATTGAGATCTAGCCCCAGGGCCCAGCACTTACCTTAAAGACAGTAGCAAGTTAGGAGATTGAATCTGACTAATGCAACCTCAGAAGGGCACTGGTTTGGAAAAGAAAAATCAAACAGTGATGAGCAGGGAAGTTGTAAGTTGATTTGTTGCTGAGTAACTACTGTCAGGTACTGTCTAGATTGCTGGTTTCGGAAAGAAAAATTAAAATTTTGAGTGCTTATAATTAATTAAGATATAGTAACAGAGGGAACTGAAAAGTAATAATTCCATTATTTATTTTACTCTTACCAGTAAGGTTTATTGCATTATTATGGTTTAAGTTAAGTAATTAAATATAATAAGTGAAGAGGCATTAATTTAATTCAACAATTAATTAAGTACATAATTAGATAATTAGTTAAGACAAAGTAAAGGTAGAAGGACAGGTGATGTGTTGCAATTACGGAATCCAGAAGGTCCTGGACACTGGTGCGATCCAGGGCAAATACGTTTGTAGTAAATGTCTATAGCTGTGGGAACTTTGGCTCAGAGATTGACTAGAGGCCAACCTGCAGACACTGTGACACAGAAGGGTAGGGGAAAGCTACCTGGGTGCTTTATTGCTGCATGAGACAGTAACAATATAGTGTTTTCTAATTCAGTTTGTGGTCAGGGTCAGGTGTGTGTGATTACAGGGGAGGCAGGCAAGAGAATGCACAGAGTAGGAAGACAGGACGCTCATGCATTGAAGATTCTTTCAGCTTGTTTGGATTAGAGTGGTGGTTGCCGAGTGGATAAGTTAACTGACCATGGAACTATGATAGAAGAAACCATTCCAATAGGCAAGAAAGTAAGAAGTGTATTGGAGACAGTATAACGATATACAGTCCAAAGATATGCAAGTTAATTGGATTGGCCATGCTAAATCACACATAGTGTTCAGGGATATGTAGATTAGGTATATTAGCCATGGGAAATGCAGGGTTACAGGGATAAAGTAGGGGGATGGATCTGGGTGGGATGCTCTTTGGAGGCTTGGTGTGGACCTGTTGGGTCGAATGGCTTGTTTCCACACTGGGGATTCTATATAAAATGAGGGCGCTTGTCACTGCACTCTGAAGAGCAAGAGTCCAAAGGGCTATGTCTCCTGTCCATTGCTAGGTAATCTGCTCATGGCTGGAAAGGAATTATAGTGGAAGGGGCAGGATCTAGTCATGATTCATCTAGATGCCAATAATATAGGCAGACAAGGAAACACATTCTGCATGTTTAATAAGAGGAGCTAGGAATCATGTAACAAAATAGGACATTGGAGGTAATAATCATTGGATTATTGCATGAGCAATAATGTGCAAATTAGTGTAGCCAAAGTCAAATCCAAATGAGTGTTTAGCACAAAGCCTGGTGTGAGACAAATAGGTTCTGGTTTATTGGGTACTTGCACCAGGATGGGGAAAAGGTGGGGCTGTACGATTGGAATAGTCTACACTTGAACCATACTGCGGATGTGGGGATGATTACATTAGCTTGGAAAATACCCTAATGTAACTCATTTATTCAAAATGGGGAGAAACAGAACGCAAAAAAACCATGGCCAGTTAGCTTAACATCTATAATAGGAAAGATTATTAAAGACATTAATTCTTCCTTGATCTACCACACGCTTGAGCTTCCTTGTACTCAGCTTTAAGTCAATTGATCAGATGGGCGTTGGGCTGAGGAGTGGCAAATGCAGTCTAATTTCGATAAATGCGAGGTGCTGCATCTTGGAACTGTAAATCAGGGCAGGACTTATACACTTAATGGTAAGGTTCCGGGGAGTGTTGCTGAAAAAAGAGATCTTGGAGTGCAGGTTCATAGTTCCTTGAAAGTGGAGTCACAGATAGACAAGATGGTAAAGATAGCATTTGGTATGCTTGCCTTCATTGGTCAGTATAGGAGTTGGGAGGTCATGTGACATTGGTTTTGGAATATTGCATTCAATTCTGGTCTCCCTGCTGTAGGAATGATGTTGTGAAACTTGGAAGGGTTCAAAAAAGATTTACAAGGATGTTGCCAGGTTTGGAGGGTTTGAGCTATAAGGAGAGGTTGAATAGGCTGGGGCTATTTTCCCTAGAGCCTTCGGAGGCTGATGAGTGACCTTATAGAAGTTTATAAAATCATGAAGGACATAGCTGGGGTGAATAAAAAGGGGTTTTCCCCAGGATAGTGGAGTCCAAAACTAGAGGGCAGAGGTTTAAGGTGAGAGGGCAAAGATTTAAAAGGGACCTAAGAGGCAACTCTTTCATGCAGAGGGTGCATGTATGGAATGAGTTGCAAGAGGAAGAGGTGGAGGCTGGTACAATTACAACATTTAAAAGGCATCTAGGTGGGTATATGATTAGGAAGGGATATGGGCCAAATGCTTGCAAATGGAACTAGATTAATTTAGGATAACTGGTTGGCATGGACAAGTTGGAACGAAGGATCAATTTCCATGCTGTACAGCTCTATGACTCTATGACTACTTCAGTTTGTTTTTATTCAAACACTCCTAGATGGGACTAACATGAGCTCTTCAGTCCATGATAATTTAATTCACTACCACTATCATTCCCTTCTCAGAAGCAAGGCTTTATGCAGACATACTATTCCTAGGACTTCACAGGACTATCCCACTCAAACTCAAAAATGAAATGAGAAATATGTCTCTCTCAGCTATGGGCATTTCCCTTCAGCTTAAAAAGTACAAATTCCAGAATTCTGTAACAATGGAGGCCCCACTATTTACCTTGCTGGGTCTCAAGCAATTCAAATTAAACAAAAAGCCCATTAGTGCAAAAAATGCATTCACCCTTCAGCCCGCTTCAAAACCTGTTTTTTTAAAAGAACTCAGATGGTTACAGAAATACTTACGAGTTAATTATTAATTTCAAATGCACAGAAAAACCTACCAGTTACTAACTTAAAAACCAGAAATCCAAAATTACATCAAATAACAATAAAACAATAAATCCCACAGTTTGTATCACAGAAGGATGTAAACCCGTTGACTGCATTTCAGACAAAGATGACTAATTCCTGGAATGTCCTGGTTGTTTTATGAAGAAAAGTTGAACAGGCTTACCTTGAATCCAGTGGAATTTGGAACAGAAAGAGGCAACTTGATTGAAGCATAATCATGAGGGGTCTTGACAGGGTGGTTATGGATAGGATATTTCCTCCTGTAGGAGAATATATAACTTTTCGTTGTCTATTCAATACAGAGATGAAGCCTTTATTTTCTCACAGCCAATCATGAATCTTTGGTACTCTCTTCCTCAAAAGGTGGTGGAAGCAGAGTCTTTGAATATTTCTAAGCAGACATAGTTAAATTCTGGATAATCAAGATGGTGAAATGTTATCAGGGTACCCGGGAATTTGGAGTAATCAGATCAGCCATGATCTGCCGACCTATTTAGTAGGATAATAGGTCGGCACGACATCATGGGCCGAAGGGCCTGTACTGTGCTGTACTGTTCTATGTTCTATGTTCTTACAGATCAGAAATTGGCTAACTGTAAGAAGACAGAGGGTGGTGGTTGATGGGAAATGTTCATCCTGGAGTTCAGTTACTAGTGGTGTACCTCAAGGATCTGTTTTGGGGCCACTGCTGTTTGTCATTTATATAAATGACCTGGGTGAGGGCGTAGAAGGATGGGTTAGTAAATTTGCGGATGACACCAAAGTCGGTGGAGTTGTGGATAGTGCGGAAAGATGTTGCAGGTTACAGAGGGACATAGATAAGCTGCAGAGCTGGGCTGAGAGGTGGCAAATGGAGTTTAATGCAGAAAAGTATGAGGTGATTCACTTTGGAAGGAGTAACAGGAATACAGAGTACTGGGCTAATGGTAAGATTCTTGGTAGTGTGCATGAGCAGAGAGATCTTGGTGTCCATGTGCATAGATCACTGAAAGTTGCCACCCAGGTTGATAGCGTTGTTAAGGAGGCGTACGGTGTGTTAGGTTTTATTGGTAGAGGGATTGAGTTTCGGAGCCATGAGGTCATGTTGCAGCTGTACAAAACTCTGGTCACTGCATTATAGGAAAGATGTGGAAGCATTGGAAAGGGTGCAGAGGAGATTTACCAGGATGTTGCCTGGTATGGAGGGCAGGTCTTATGAGGAAAGGCTGAGGGTCTTGAGGCTGTTTTCGTTAGAGAGAAGAAGGTTAAGAGGTGACTTAATAGAGACAAAGAAGACGATCAGAGGATTAGATAGGGTGGACAGTGGGAGCCTTTTTCCTTGGATGGTGATGGCAAGCACGAGGGGACATAGCTTTAAATTGAAGGGTGATAGATATAGGACAGATGTCAGAGGTAGGTTCTTTACTCAGAGAGTAGTAAGGGCGTGGAATGCCCTGTCTGCAAAAGTAGTAGACTCGCCAACTTTAAGGGCATTTAAATGGTCATTGGATAAACATATGGATGATAATGGAATAGTTTAGGTTGGATGGGCTTCAGATTGGTTTCACAGGTCGGGGTAACATCGAGGGCCGAAGGGCCTGTACTGCGCTGTAATGTTCTATGTTCTATGTTCTATGTTCTAGAATAGTAGAACAGACTTCAGGTCTAAATGGCCTACTCCTAATTTGAATATTTGTATATGCAAGAAAGAAAGATAAAGAAG